TCGGTGCCCCCGTCCCAGCTCCCCGCCGCCACCTCCTCGTCCCGCCCGCAGCTCCCGGCAGAGTTGCCCCAGAGACCGCGACGCCGCCGCTCCGAGGGACCAATGAGAGCCCCGCCGCTGCCGTCGGCGCCCGTGGTGCTGTCGCTCTTGATCCTCGGCTCAGGTGAGGACACCCCGGCTCTGGCCTGCCGGGCGCCTCTCCCGCCGCGGGCAGAACGGTCACCTCTTGAATTCTGCTGCCGTTTCTCCAAAACCCGCTCTCGGGAGGCGACCCCAGCTCTGTCCCGCGGGAGGTGGTCACGGTGGCTCCCTGCCTATAGTTAGTTACTCCCTGGGAGGAAGAGAAAAGCGTGCAGGTGTTTGAGATGTGCCGGGCCAGCAAGAGGATGCCGGAGAATCCTTGTATTTTCACTTTAGTCCTGATGAAGGAGAACTTAGAGATCCTGTGATCCAAACCCTTCGTTTTACAGGTAAAGAAACCAAAGTCCAGAGAGGTGCAGTGATTTCCTCAGACCATCGAGCAGCGTAGTTAAGTCCTGGACGAGGAGCGCAGCCTCCTGCCTAACTTCTCCATCTCCTCTGTCAAGTGACTTTGTTTTTACCCTTCTAGAGGTCCTCGCATCATCACAGGGAGAAGTTAAAAGCATCACTCTAGGGCTGTTTTTTTTTTTTTAAAGACCTTGATAAAGCAGGGGCTTGAAACTTAGACCCCCAAATTTTAACCTAGTCTGTAATTTTCTTCTCTATGTGAGAACAATAAGAAACAATTGCAATAAGAACAATTGTCAACTACTATTTATATTACTTTTTACATTTTATATAGCTATTCTTTTTAAAATGTGAGCACGTATTAAGAAAATTTGGTATTGATCTCTGGAATCTGTTTATTAAAATGGGACAGGTAGCATTCCAGCAAACGCAAAAGCGTTTGGTATGTGACATGATGGCAATGTTTAGACATTGCCTGTTAAGTAATTATATAAAATTAATTTGCCTATTTGGCAGTATTTTTTGATGTGGAAATTAATGTAGACTGTCTGTGAAGAAGAAAACCTTAATGAAAGAAGCTCTGTAATTGGAACAGCTGAGTTTGCTTGTTGGCAAAATGTGATGTTGGTTTCGTAAGTGACTCAGTCACCAACAATAGCACATGTGCACTAATTGCTTTGATATTAGAAGGTAAACAGTTCTCCCGAATGCAACTGACTGGTGAGAAAAGGCATTCTCCCTTACCTTTGCTTTTCTTCCCTTGTTCTTGCTCCTACAGCCTATTATGCTGCTGGACTGGACGTCAATGAAACTTACTCTGGGAAAGGGGAACCACTTTCTGGGGACCACAATGCTGATGGATTTAGTGTTACCTCAAGAAGTGACGTGTCCTGGGGGAGTGAGATTTCTCCCGTGAGTGAAATGCCTCCTGGTAGCGAACTGTCCTCAGGGATCGACTATGACTACGCAGATGAGTACGACAACGAACAACAGATGTCTGGCTATATCGTGGATGATTCCGTCAGAGGTGAGTAGAGGGTAGGGTAGTGATGTAGCCAGTGAGCAAAGGTGCTTCAAAAGGAAATCTTTTCTCCCAGTCTTCTGGTGGCTTTTTGTGTGTATGATTGTTGTGTACCCTGCTAGGTAAGCTACGAGCTGAGATGGAAAGAGCTACTTGTGGCACACCTTGTATGTATGGAGCTCTAACAAACGTTTTAGGTCTATGAAGTGTAATCTTCACAACAACGCTATGAAGTCGGAATTGTCATTTTACAGATGTGATAAGTGAAGCTCAAAAGGGATAAATGTTCTGCCCAGAGTTCCACAGCCGGCCAGCAGCTGAGCCAGAGTGAGAACTCTGGTCTGTTTGCTTCGAGTTACTGTGTGCTTTCCCACTGTGCCACATGACCCCCATTCTGAGAAGTGGGCATAGACCAGTCCTGTCTACTTTGTATCTCAGCTCTTACATCCACCTCCCCACCACGTTTCCCTAAATAACTGCATTTTAACACAAAACAAGGGAGTAGAAAGAAGTAATGCGAAAAGAACGATTGGACCTTAGCCTTTAAGTATTAGGTGCTGAGAAATTGGTGATAATAATAGCAATACCACTTTCGGGAAATATAAAAGAAGGATAAATATGCCTGGATTTTACATTGCTAAAAATCACTATTTAACTAGCTCAGTAATAGTGACCCACACTTTTCTTCTCCTTTGCTATTATCTGATCTTTAAAAAAGAGCATTTGCTTAAAATGAAGATACCAAAGTAAAGGGCCACATTATTCATCACCCTCATATCACTTTGTAGTCTGAGAGAAGATGGGGTCATCAGTAAATCAGACCTAGGTATCCCAGGAGCATCTAGCATCGAGGCAGGAAGCAAGCTGTTCTTTCTTGGCCTTAGTTTCCCTGTCTCCTCCCACTCTGTCCGGCTCCCAGAACTGGTGAAGAGATAATGGTTGATACCACAGGGACAGTGCCTGGATGAAGTGGCAGTTGGGAAGAACTTTAGCAAACATTCCACTTTCCTCCCTTGCATCAGAATTCTGCTTTTACATAAGGTGGGGAAGGACCCATCTATAATTCTTAGTTTGGGGGGGATGAGATTAGGCTGTCAAGGCTCTAGAATCTGTTCTCTTAAAGATGTTTCAAGTTGTTAACATTTCAAAAGGCCAAATAAATTTTTGATGGTGTGAATGGCTGGTGCCTAGAATTGCAGTGCATTGTGAAACAGAGTGAAAGGTAAGCCTTGGGGTTAATGTCTATTGCAGCACGTTAGTGTAGTGACTGTATGTCTCTAAAATTTGTAATGTATCTGACAAAGTGCAGTAATATTGACTTACAATGTTTCTGTTAGAGGACTTATCCCAACTTGTGGTACTTTTTTATCATCAGAAGAAAATTTCAGTATAAAAATTGCAGCTCAAAAAATGTTCTGCCCAATCTACCACCTATTAAACATTGCTCCTAATCTGACTGCTGTTATAATAACTACTAAAATACTCATAATATTTGTAATTTCCTTAATCACGGGGTTCTATCTTTGATACCCTTCCCTATGTTTCTAGTGTCTTCTATCTAATATGTGCTGCAGGACCATTATAACTAATTGTATTATGACATTATGATATTTTCCTCTTCTCACTGGCTCTACTAAATCTTGCTTAGATAATTCCATACAGGGATTAGTAGAACAAAATGCACAGCTCTAACATGGAAACTCCTCCTCCTTCTACTTAGCGTGAGGGTAGGCTACATCCTGCATAACTATAACACTGAGCAAAGGTTTCTGTGGTTCGGAAGAGTTAAGCTGAATCTCTGAAGCATCAAGCACAAATATTTCTGGACCCCCGTTTTTTCAAATAGATTGATCACAGAATTGAGCTCCCTGGAAGGTATCGATCAACTATAATCTGTTGTAATCTGTGAGTTGGAGAAAATTGGTGAACGCTAATATATAATTCTCAGTTTCCTCCACCTCAAGTAATACACGCTAATTCCCAATTATGACAGTGAGCACAAGACTGACATGAATAAAAAAAAATCATCAAATATACTCAGGTCTCACTTTAATTAATGGCACTGACCTTTTCCAAGAGAAAACATAGTAAGTAGGGAAATTATTGGCTTTCACATCCCAGCTATGCCATTTTCTAGCTACATGTCCTAGGGCAAGTTACTGGTCTTTACTCAACTTCATTTTTCTCATTTGTATCATCTGGATGGTAATAACACATCCAACCTTGGTTTGGGTTTAATTAAATTATTGCTCATTACCAAGAACTTGGATGTATTAGAAATTCAAGAAGTGTTTAAAATATTCAATGAATTTTCTTAACCAAGTATCTTTTATTATCAATAATAATACTGATATAAATAAATTAAAGACATGTTTCTACATTTATACGACAAAAGGGTTCGGATTTTTGAGTGCCGCACAATACATTCTCTTTTTCCATCCTTTGTTGTGTATGAATTGTGTTGAATAATGAGGCCAATATGACTCTTCTCCCCATTAGCTTCTCACTGGTAGGACTTCTTTCCCTCATGTCTCCAAAATGGTATTCAAGATGAAGAGAGACTGTGGTCAATAAATATTTTTTTTTTTTTAGTTGAACAGGTAGTTAAGCCCAAGAAAAACAAAACAGAAAGTGAAAAGACTTCAGATAAACCCAAAAGAAAGAAAAAGGGAGGCAAAAATGGAAAAAATAGAAGAAACAGAAAGAAGAAAAATCCATGTGATGCAAAATTCCAAAATTTCTGTATTCATGGAGAATGCAAATATATAGAGCACCTGGAAACAGTAACATGCCAGTAAGTTTCCCTAACTTACGTAGAATTCTATATTCCTAACACTGTGTCTGAAAGCTCTAGCTGCAGAAAACCATTTATCTTCTTCAATGTATAAACCAAGGGTTGGCAAACTTTTTCTTTAAGAACTACATAGGAAATATTTTCAGCTTCATGGCTCAAGATTATGTTTGTACTTATATCACCTACTAAAATATAGCCATTTAAAAATGGAAAAACCATTCTTGTCTTAACATGCTGTAAAAGACCTGGCAAATGGCCAGATCTGACCCATGGGCTGTAGTTTGCTGAACCCTGATGGAAACCACCATTTTACAATACAAATTTTATAAAACCTCCTGTTAAAAAGGAGCTAAAAGTCCTTTTCACATAATGTTGTTCTGGCTCCCCACCCTCCCAAAGCCGCTAGCACATTAAATGATAGTGGAATGTATTAGCTGCATAATCAGCCACTGAACTCATCAGTTGGTCATAGAAGGATCACAAAGAATGAAAAGGTGTGTCTTCTTGGAATATCACACCCAAACTAATCTCAACTTGTTCTTATACTAATAGAGCTTTGGGTCAAATGCATTCTGTCTCATCATTTTGCAATACAAACATATGGCATGACCTTTTTTTTTTAATGTTAGAATTAATTGTTGTTTATGATCTGGAAAGTAGACATAAAATATACAGAAAGTTTTCAGTGATTATAATTTTAAAATGTGGGTTGTTTGCAGATGTCATCAGGAATACTTTGGTGAACGATGTGGGGAAAAGTCCATGAAGACTCACAGCATGGTTGACAGTGATTTATCAAAAATTGCCTTAGCAGCCATAGCTGCCTTTGTCTCTGCCATGAGCTTCACAGCTATCGCTGTCATTATTACAGTCCAGTAAGTATGGCATGGCTTAAAATTTCCTGACAAAATAATGCCAGGTTAATTCTTTTCAGTAATTTCTATCACAATGTGGTATCAAATTTTAGATGAATTATTCTGTTGGTGACACATGATCTTTGGTCATATTTGTTCATAAGCACTTCATTGACAAAGATCACAGAATATGGTCAAATATATATTACTTTGGCCACTATTGAAACAATATATGAAGCCCTTTTCTTGAACTTAAAAATTGATGGTCTTGTTTCATGTTTTATGTTTAATCATGGTTACTTCCGAGTTTCAGAGTGTTGGTATCTTCTGTGACTGTATTAAGCTTAAGCAAGCCTCCCAGAAGCTAATTAAGGCCTGATTCAGAGTAGGTTGTCAGGGGCAGGGAGGGTATAGCTCAGTGGTAGAGCATGTGCTTAGCATGCATGTAGCATGTGTGAGGTCCTGGTTCAAGCCCCAGTACCTCCATTAGAAAAAAATATATATATAAACAAATAAATCTAATGATCTCCCCCCTCCCCCAAAAATAAATAAAACCAGAGTAGGTTGTCAGATATACTGCTTTAGTACTAAAAAAAATCACGAAGAGCTTCAAACCAGACCAGGCGCCAAGAAAAGATATGTCTTCTGCTCCTGTTAGAATGCAAAATTCTGAGTTAGGAATATAGCATGGTGCTGACCGACTCAGAGCTTATGATGCCTGTTTTGTTATTGTCAAATGCAATATGGGAACTCAATTATTAAAAAAGAAAAATTTCCTCCATATGCCGCGGCATAGGAAGCAAGGACAATTCTATTACTGTTCTGTTCCCGCAGTGCCTTCCCTGTGCTCATAATAACAGGTCACATACTTCCCTGCATGACCAATGAATGTTAGGACTAGACTGTTCTAGGCAGCAGACACTGGTGAATATGTAAAAATGGCATTGTCTGTCAAACAAAAGTCAGTGAATTAAGGAAGTTGGGGGAGGGTGTGAATGGCTCTGTGATGACTCATGTGCTACTAGAGCTTGGGAAAAGCAATAGACTCATTATTCTAATTTTAGGTCTTGGTAAATTACTTTAACAACTGGATTGTGTACATGATCTACTACTCCTGCCATTCAGGAAACAAGGGGTTATCTTCTGCCATTGTTTACTACTATTTTAAACTCAGATCAGATAATAATAAAATGACACATTAAAAAAAACCGCTTTTATGATGCATGTAAAGTTTGATGTGTGGTTTAAATTAGTTTTGCACAGCCTAGAAATTATTTTGATCTGTTAGTACCTCAGATATGCAAATATGTTTGGGAAACATACCCTCAGACAAACCATTACTATTTGACATAGAAGGATAGAAGAAGAAATTGCCAGTTAGGGAAGATGTTTTGAAATAATTATTTCAACTTGTAATTATTCAAGTTGGAATATTTAATAAATTCTTTGGAAAAGTATAGAAAAACCTTGTCCTTTTATATTCTCCTTGTATTTAAGACACATAGCAGATACTAGCTGCTTTTTCATAATTGAAGTTAATTTTTCCCCAAACATCACAACTAAAATTCTTAGGATTTTAATTACAACATTTAGTAGATAAAGACCTAGTAAAAATAGAATTGCTTGTACAATACCAAGACATTTCAGACCATTGACTTTTTTGGTAGCAAATAGTAATATATAAAACTAGATGTACTGATTATATTTACAAATAGATAAAACTCAATTTGTTTTGTAAGCCTGTTTTTAAAAATCTAACCGTTCAAATTAGTTTGTGTAAGCATACAGATCTTCTATGGTAAAACTATACTATCTTCTTCTTCCTCCAATTGTGCATGGCACAATTTGTGCTAAGTTTGGAGGAAAAAATGGATGTGTTCCATGTCTTCTGAAAGTTTGCATCTCAAGGCACATTTATTTAAATCTCAGTCCTTTGGAAGTATGTTTTATGACGTCAACATAAAGATCCCCTTAAAAAGAACATAGGTGATACTGTTTTAGCTGGGTTTGGTTTTTGGTTTGGCGGAGTGGTCCATCAGTATGTAATGGTCTATAAGGACTTACAAAAAGGAATTCCTTGTATTCATAAAAACCCCAGACACTATATACATGAATAGAGCTTTGATGACAGTAGAATATCTTGTTCTCCAAAGGCTTCGAAAACGATACTTCAGGGAATATGAAGGTGCAGCAGAAGAACGAAAGAAACTTCGACAAGAAAATGGAAATACACATGCCATAGCATAACTGAAGATGATATTACAGGTTTGAGTTTTAAAAGATATCTTTAAATAATATCCTATGATTAAAAAATAACATCTTATTATCTGAAGAAAAATGAGAAAAGCAAGTTTTCTTAAATATATGAACATTGGCTACATTAAAGTCTTATTCTTTGAGCATGTGACAGAATTCAATGCTGAGAGCAGACTATATCCTTAGTATCATAAAGGATCTAATGATGAGGGAGACACAGATTCTATTCTCAAAGAACTTAGTGCTTAATAGATAGGGAAAAAAAAATGTAAGGAACGAGAATATTAGGGGGAGCAAAGAATGTGTCCTAAGAGAGGAACTAATGGAATATGAGGAATTTCCAGTGAAGGAGAGAGAGAATCCAGTGGGATGCATTTAGGGAGCAGGAAAGGATGTGTGTGCAGATGGCATTGGAAGTGAGCGTCAAAGAACTAATGAGAGTGGGATAAGCAACTGTAAAGGGAAAGGAAAATTCATACTGTGAGATGGACTAGATTATATTGGAAACTTTTGAAAAATGGCCCAGTTCAAATGGTGTTGGGGAAGATAAGGTTGAGATGGCAGATTGAGCTCACATGGTGGCGAGCCAATGTCAGGGAGCTTGCACCACAAATGTGGGGAAGTGGAAATAGCAGGCAGCATGTCTTTTTAAATAAAAGGGAGAAGAGGTGCAAATTTGAGAGATAGATTGGTTACAGTATATATAGTAGCTCTTATTTTAAACTTTTTTGTAAAGGGAGAGGTGAGCATGTGGTCAGGAGAGGAAAGAAGGTATAGAAAACTGAAGTGAACAGCTAGTGAAGCAAACTTCCAGAGGAAGAGGGAGACAAGGAGATCAAGGACACACTTCAACTCGGTCAGAAGAAGGAACTCCATTTCCTAAGACATCTAGGAAAGATGTCACATCCTTAAGTTACTCTTTTCTACCCCCAGTGGATTCAAGAATTACTTGAGGTGCTTATTAAATACGCATATTCCTATGCCAAATCCTAAATCTACTAAATCAGTACTTCCGTTTTTAATTAACGCTCCAGGTGCTTGGAGAACCACTATGTTTAGCACTGGTTAACACAAGCCTTATGTTCTGAGCCTGTTACAGAATTAGCCCAATAACTCATGAGACAGATAATTATCCATGCCAATGCTATATTCAGTACTTATTCATCAAAATGTATAAATGAATTGGCTTCATGTTCTGAAGCTAAAACCACCAACATGAATAAGGGTAATTTTTGGTTATTTAGGACTATTGAAATGTCTCAAAGGAGGTCTGGGGTGACTTTAGGGAAAGGAACATGCTGGGCTGGCACACAGTGGCTGCCTATTAACTGGTAGCTGCTGTTATTATGCCCTTGGTACTAATTACCTTAAATTAACTGTGTATCATAAATACACTGAGCCATTTTAATCTTTGTTTGTAATTATATCCACTGCATAGATTTGGTTTGGAAAACTATTTCTCATGACTGTTGCTGTGGTTTTATTAAGCTGAATTTGATGACACTGGTTTGAGCATATGCAGTCTTCAGTCTAAGTAGGCCTATTACCAAAGCAGATCTGGAAGTGGGATTCAAGTTAAAGTGCTAGTTTGTTTCTGGAAAACTCTTTGCATTTTCGCAGGACTTCTTAGAGAAAAAAATTGACAGAAATTCTGATTCCTGATTATTCTTTGACATTTTCTTAAAGCTATGTTGCAGTTGAGCGTATCCTTAACTCTTTATTTAATTCCCAACAGGGTATCAGATCGGAGTTGCTGCCAAGTCACAAGCATGAATGATGAGTTGGTTCCTCTTTTCAGTGGATCATAAGAAAACAGAACCTTTTTGTTCTGATGGTTTTAAACTTTCAATTGTCAGTTTTTAATGCTAAGTCTTATTTCTGTACATAAAGATGCATGGAGATAAAAAGTATTTTTTCAAGTTGTAAATAATTTATTTAATATTTAATGGAAGTGTATTTATTTTACAGCTCATTAAACTTTTTTAATCAAACAGATTGAGAGTCTGAATATTAGTTTTGAGAGTGTAAGACTTTAGGTTATTTTTCTCCCAACACATGGATGATCTTTAGATGATCATTGTAGAAGGAGTTCCTTCTCCTTCATTTTTTTTTAATGGTTTCGTTTTTATTTATAGCTTTTCTTAGAAAACACTCTTAATGGCAAAATTATAGAGTCACTTATCCCACAAATACTAATATCCCAAACTGGTCTTTCTTATTCTATATAGGACTTGTTCCAGGTCCTGTTAATTATGAAAGCTTCTAAAATCAACACATGCAATGGCCTTTCTGTTGCAGTAGACACAGATATTATAAAAGAAAGAGATTATACTGCTTATCATCATCATCACCACAAGAATAGGTTTGAATTTGACATTTCGAGAGAACCAGGAAGTATTTAGATTTGAGACCTCTTTCCCTAATATCATGACATAAATGTATAAAGCATCTAAAACCTACTCCTTTTTTTCCTCCACTTGCTACTCTTTTCCTAAGCTATTTTAAACAAATATGTCTGTATTTGTGGTGGGTGTTCTTTTAAGAACATTAATGTTATGGAATGACTCACAGTCTGGTTCCTGGCTGGTCAACTAAGTTACTCCCATGAAAAGCAAAACAACCTTTATAATGTGCAGGGAATACCTTGAGAAAATTAACCAATTATAAGCATGATTTTGGCAATCATCTCGCAGAATTTCGTAAATGAAAGGTGCCTCCAGCATCAACACTTCCATCTGTTTCTAGCATCCCATTCACCAAATCTTTGCCCTCTTAATCCTCAGAACTTCCTTAGAAGGTAAATACATTTTATAGGTAAGAAAAGTAAGCCTTAAAGAGATTAAGTAACTTGCCACACAGCTAGTAAACGGCAATTAGGCTCTGTGGCTCCAGAGCTGGTTCACTTAAACTCCAATCTCTTCTACTTTTCCTATAGTCAAGGTGTTTGTTTTTGGTTTGGAGAATACTATCTACATACCAATTTGGCATGGTTTAAAATTGCCACTCATAAGGTACTTAGATTATTTCTTCAAATTCAGATAAGATGACACTTTTTATCTACCTATTTCATCTTCACAAAGTTTTCCAGTCTATAAAACTTCCCTTACAGTGTAGAATGCACACCTTAGTTTTAGCCCACTCAAAGAGTAAGAAAGCTGAAATATTTATCCAAAAATTTTATTCACAATTTTTAAAATACTTGGGTGGGTGAGATTAATTCCCTGGTCTGTGTAGGCAAAGTGAACTCCAATAGCCAAAGAAAGTCCTCTGGCAATGAAATACAGGTGGGTTACAGGAAGGGCCAATGTGCTTAGAAACAGAATCGCCCCAGGGTGTATAGGTGGGGCAACTGCTGAAGTGGCTGGGTTATTGCTGAACAATGCAACTCTTACTTCTTAGCTACTTGGTTATTCATTCAATAAATAACTACAAATAATTATTAAACTCCAACTATGTACCAGGCACACACAGTTTACTGAAAAGCAGCATCTCGTAAGTCCTAAGGAGAAGTATCCATAAACTTAGGAACAGAAGGAAATGGCAGAATAAAGGGTTTTAGGCAGTGTCAAAGCAGGTAGTCATCCACTCAGTAATTAATAATTCACTTTGTTTGATGGATTTGACCCTTATGAAGTATGACTAAAGTAATGACACTGGTTTTCTTCCATGGCTTAGAAATCAACATAATTCCTTAGTAATACCTTGTTTAAATATATTCACCTTAATCGCCAACCTTTCAAATTACATATATGTATATATATCTTATATATATATATACACACGCACATACACATATACTATGTCCATTCAATCATTAATTTAATAAATCTTTATTGAGAGTTTACTATAATCATAGTGATACTCTCGACAGTGAAATTTAACCTTCTTTCAGGTCTCTCTGGGGAGACCAAGTGTGTGTCATAAATGGCTCTGTGTGTGTGTGTGTGTTTGTGTGTGTGTGTCCTGATAGTGAGGTGGTTGGCAGTTTAAGTTATAATAGAATACAATCAGAAAAAATTTTAAAGGATAACAAAAACTGTTGTATGTTTGGATATTGCACATTATAAAAATCTACTGAGTTAAAAATTATTTTAATGAAAATTACAAAATACTTAGAACTGAATGAAAATGTTTTATTTGTCAAAATGTATGACACTCAGTTAAAGTAGTACTTAATAGACAATTTGTAGATTTAAACATATTTATCAGAAATAAGAAAAGCTTAAAAGGGAAAGAAACTTAAGCTATGTATTAAACTCAAAATTTAGAAAAAAGATCAATTGAATAAACCTAAGGAAATAGGAATAAAAATATTTACATAGGGCAGAAATAAATGATAAAGATAATTGAATAACAAAGCCAATAGGCTATTCTTTGGAAAAATTAATAAGATAGATCTGTGTTAAAATTGATCAAAATGAAGAAACAGTACATTAAAAAAGGTAGAAAGGAAAAGGAGAATTACCTACAGGAACAACAGATTTTAAAAGTAAGAAAAAAAGAGAAAAAGTATTAGAATTCACATTCATAAATAAATTTTAGTAGCTTAAAGAGACATTACTTTCCCTAATAAATGACATAGAAAGGTATGATACTCTAAGTTTGCTTAATTCAACTGTCCAACAGTAGTATTAAATATCCAGGTCCTTTCCCTCTTGCTACTGTTCTGTCCTCATGGTTGTAAGATGGCACTAATATATAAAAACCCAAGATGTAATGGATAAATGTCTACAAAAGTGCCAAAAATGTGAAAAATGTCTAATAGTAAAAATAAAAAACTTAAACCAATAAATAATAAAAAATGGAGTGATCAGAGCTCATATCCCCATCCACCCAAAGAGAAACTGAACCCATATGACTTTATAGTAGTTCAGAATATAGAGAAAGAGTGAAATCTGCCCAGCTTAATGTATGATGCTAGTGCCAATTTGTACAACAGCAACATAAGGAAAAAAAATATGGGCACATTTTACTTATGACCATAAATGTGAAAATTCACAAGTATATTCTTAAAATTACATTATGAGAGTAGAGCTTTTACCAGAAATGCAAGGAAAGTTCAACATAAGAAAGTATACCGTTGTTATATAAAATAGAGTTTAAAAATTAGACTTTTTTATTATGCAAGATAGAGTTCAAAAGTGTTTTCTTATTAAAGGCAGAGAAAGCCTTTAAGTGCAAAATTTACTTATAATTTAAAATATTTTAAAACTAGGAATAGGACACTTCTTGTGTTTGATAAAAGCTGTATACTAAAATAAACAGCTGAATTTATACTTAGTAGCAAATCTATAGATGCTTTCCCTTTAAGATTAGGAATGAGGCAAGGATGCCCATTATGTAACATAGCACAAAAATTCTTACTAAAATTGAAAGAAAATAAGTAAACATAAGAGATATAAGAATTTGTAATAAATATATGTGTCCCTGTTTGCAGATAATATGATAATCTATCTAGAATAGCCAATACAATCAGTATGCCAACTATTAGAATTTGTAAGATAATTCCTTGAGATTGTCAGATATAATTATAAAATTCCAAAATTAATAGTACTTTCCAATGACAATTTATCTGAATCTTAAAAGATAAAATAGCACTCATATTTGCTAAAAAACTGTAAGATATACATGTATTGAAAATGAATACATGAGATTTCATTTAAGAAAAATGTGGATACCTCTTAAAGAAAACAAAGAAATCTGTCATGGATAAATACTCCTTTCTCTTAGACTGTAGACTGTGAACAGGTTAATTCTCTTTCTGAATAATCTTTAAATTCAACAGAATGCTAATCAAAATTCCAAATGGGTCATTTGATGAACTTCATATACCATATTCTATAATTTGCATAAGAAAAGAAGTGAAAACTTGCCATTTTGGGGAAAAAAGCAAAACAAGAAATCTTATATATAAAGACATATACAAAGTAAAGTAATAAAAGAGTGTGACTCTAGAGTAAGTATGGCAAAGGGACTAATGGAACAACACAGAGAGCTCAGCGACAATTTATAGCATGATAAAGAGAGCACTACAAATTAATAGGGAAAAAATGACTGCTTAGCAAATACTGTAGAGAAAAGAGTCTCAGAACGTGGAGAAGAATAAAATCGGAGGATTACCTTATATCATAGTCAAAGGTAAATCTCATGAAGATTAAATATCCAAATGTGAAATATAACACTGTAAAGTCAATACAAAATGATGCAGGAAAATATCCTTGTGAGTTAAGATTGAGGAAGGATTTAAGTAAAACCTCACAATTAAAAACAATCCAGAGAAAAATGAACTATTTTTTGATTATGTCAAAATTAGGAAGTTTGGTTAAAAGAAGAATGTCATGGACAAATTTTACAGACTGTTGACAGAAAGGAGAACTATGCAATGTCTAATGCCAAAAAGGGATTATGATATGTAAGGGATGACTAAAAATCAACATGAAAATGCAGGACCTTCAGCTTAAAAGGGGGAAAGTTTATGAGCAAGGAATTCCTAGAATGTGAAACCTAAGTGAGTAACAACCATGTTATTTGGACTAGTACTGGCCCAGATGTTGCTTTGCTGAGAATTAGCAAAAGTCAGCTTTTCCTCCAGACAGCTATTGTCCCAGGCCAGGCCAGGACACACAGCGTGGGTGTGGGCCGGAGCTCAGCTCCCACTCGCATTCTTGATTGGATGCTCTTTTGTAAGCACCTTGCACTCATCTGTATATCATGGCCCTGAATATAAAGAAATGTTCAAACTTACTGGAAATGGTAGAAATACAAATCAAAAACACAACAGAATATCTCTTTATGCCTGTCAGATTTGCAAAAATAGAATGACGAATAATTTTTGCAGAAGCTTGTGGACATAGAGACCCTTAAACATTACTGGTTGGAGGTTAGCCTAGAACTGCCATTTGGGTAGTACTTAATCAAATTAAAAATAAATATGTCCTGTTACCCAGAGTGAACATATTCCTAAGACATATAGGCCCACAAAGGGACGTGCATGAG